ATATAATATAATACAGTATATATAAATAAATATATACATATATATATATACAAATAAATAAATAAATAAATAAATTTATATACATATACATATATATATACACATATACATATAAACATACATACATCAACATCTGACGTCTGCCAAGAAGTTATTTAGCCTTTCTCAAACAAAGCTGCATGTTTAACTACAGTAACAAACAAGACAAATGATATACGTAATTATAATGCGCCTTTGGAAAAATATATCTCTTCACAATGAAATGCTTCTATGCAACAAATTCCATTCACTCACCAAACTGTCTACTTATAACATAAACTTCTAAATAAATATCTTCATAATTACAGTACAAAATATTTCAAAAGATTACATACACAACAAAACTTACACCAACCATATTTCCTTTAATATCACTGTACAACAACATCACACCTTTCCTAACTGTTATGTGAACATAACAAAAAAGGTCTATGATGCATATAACTACTATAACTTTAAATGTTTTACTTTATGCTCAATACACATTACAACACTCCACACAACCTCCACCCACCGACAGCACTTAAACATTGCCAGCTATTGCCAAGTGGGCTATTGCATCATTAATGCTCTTATTTATACATGTAGTGATAAATAATAGTCAAAATTTTAATTTTATTTAGGTCTTAGGGCTGAAGTGAACCATGCATTGGGTTAGCCCCTACACTTCCAAAAGATGCCATGAGTTTTATAAGGTGCACATAAGCTATCATGAGCACACCTTCATTGAAAAGTCCCTTCATATATTTTTTATACATGTAGTGATAAATAATAGTAAAAATTAAAATTTTATTTAGGACTTAGGGCTGAAGTGAACAATAGCATTGGGTTGGCCCCTACTCTTCCAAAAGATGCAATGAGTTTTTTTAAGGTGCACATAAGCTATCATGAGCACACCTCTATTTTAATTCTTTATCCAAGAAGACTTAGTTCTACCAGGGAGTTGTTATAGTGACTGTAGTCACTATAACAACTCTCTGGTTTTACCAACCTAACCCTGGTAGAGGAGCAGATCGAATTTGTGCAGTAGTTGGCTGTAGTTAGCAGTGCACCTGTCTTACCACTCAGCCACTCGCTTCGCCACTGAGATGTGCCCTACTCACTGATGCTATAGGAATGTCTCTAAATTTAAATGCCTCTCTGGTTAAATTTTATTATTTAATTCTTGTGTATTAAACAGAAAGCACAAAACCTGGAACAAGACAGAATCAAGTACTTGCGTAACAGTGTGTGGGTGTATACAAACATCGGATCCATTCAATGTTGCACAGATGATAAGGTAGGATTAGCAGTGACATATCCACCCAATTTGAAATATTCTAAGTAGTTAAATATTACTCCAGGGTACTGAAAATTTTTGGGAGGGGTAAGATTTATGGGTGCAAAACAGTGGTCGTATTAGCAGGACGTCGGCAGGAAAGTTACCCCCTCTATCCTTGTTGGACAAGCGCAAATTCATCAGACTAATCATATTAATTTGCTGACCCAAAAAAAGTTAGTTATTCACAATCACTATTATTCTGTGTAAAAGCACAGATTTTGCTATATTCATTTCTGCAAAAATATTATTGTCTTCCCTTTATATGCAAATTGACTTCTAAATCTAATACTATATATATTTTTTTAACTGCCAATTGTCTTTCAGCTTTATGAAAAGGTGCGTGAAATGCTCGAAAAGTGTAGTGATGTGGAAGATAATGACCTTTTCATCAGGTCAAAGAGGACTGGCTCAGCTAGACCAGGTAAGATATAGAAAAACTTCTTTTTCTATAATGTGCTGCACAAAGCTGCTTTCTGCCAATAATGGTGATACCAAATCTTTTTATTATTATTTTTGGTCTGTTGTAAAATTTGCTGTTACAAATTTCAGAGAAAAACATTTATTTATTTTTATTATTTTATTTTATTACATTTAACTCTCTCAATAATAAATCAATATTTCTTCCTCTTTACTACATAAATATAATACATTTATTAGGCCTAAAAAAAAATTTTTTTTTGCCCTCCTCACCCGCCTCTAACTCACTGAAAAAAACAGGGGCAGCAAAACAAAAAAACTTGCAGAAAAGGGGTTTTTTTTAGCTTTTTTCTTTACAAGTTAAAAGAAATGTGAGTGAATTGTTCTTTAATTTTTGCCAGATGCCCTACAAAGTTGTCTAAAGTTGTTGTCTGATGCAAGATATTGCCATTCTAGGCCTACATTCATTGCAAAATGTGAACTGTGGGTTATTTATTCCATCTGATGAGCAATCTTTTATCATTTTAAAAAAAGAAGGGCAAACAAACAATTATTTTTTTAGGCCTTATGCTGATTACAGAACTTAGCAGTACAACATTATATTCTTTATTATACGGTTATTCTTTGTTATGTGGGGACCACTCAATCTAGGTTCGGGTGCCCATGTGTGTCACCATGCTTCAGAAAAAGGCAATAAACAAGGTTTGGAACGCAGAGAAAATGCACCCCTTTTCATGTAATATATTAAAATCTTACCTTTTAAGTAAGCATTTTTAGAATAAAAAGTAAAGCTGAACACGAAAGGGCAAAAAAAAAACCTCTTTCTTAACACTCTGGCCTCTATCCTTTAATAACAGACAACACACGTTATTCCTTGAATATGTATAGGCCTAGACCTAAACATATGATAGCAAAACAGTAACTCCAAATAAGGACGCTGTCTGACACACACGGCGACGCACACCCTAAACACGTTCTTAATTTCCTCAAATATGATACCCTTTACAAATTTGAGCATTTTTCAGAGCCTAAAAATGTAACATACGTTATGTGCCTGTTCGGGGAAAAACAACCCTTTTTACGTGATTTTGGTCACACATGCGTCCCCAAGGTCAACGTGTGCCTCACACACTATTTTAAATTTTCCTTCACTTAAGCCCTGTCCAAAAAAATCTAATTTCATTTGACAAAAAACATGTGATATGCCTAAATATGGTCATGATGACATCACAACATGATCATAATTATATAGGCATATCATGAATATATGGGCATGCAACAGGTTTTTTGTCAAATGAAAATTGATAGTTTGGCCAGAGCTTTAGAAGGTTTTGGCAGAACCATTTGTGGCAAAGACAAGCCAAACCAGTTACTCGTTGCAAATTGTGTTTCAGAGAAAATGGCCAAAACATGCCGGATTGTCAATTTTTTTTAAATCTATTTTATTGCACTAAGCTAAAATTTATATATATATACATCATGCTATGCTGTTATTTTCCCCATTTTCAATGTTAAAACAACTATTTTTAAGGATTTGATGATAGTTTCTGCATAAGAAATGCCCGAAATCATAAACTTTGAAGGCTGATTTCTCATATATTGTCTTTAAACAGCTGTATGTGTAAATTCTTGTAACTTCATAAGGAAATGTTGGATTTTAATGATTTTTTAACCATTTTATAGCTCTTATTGTACTCTTTAACCCTGTATTAATAACTCAAAATCGATTTTTGCGACAAGTGACTGGTTTGGCTTGTCTTTGCCACATTTTGCTAATATAAGAAAAACAAATTAAATATCCCATGTGGTTATGTTTATTAAATATCACAGGTGTTCATTAGATATCATGTGTTTATGTTTATTAAATATCACATGTATTTATGTTTATTAAATGTCACATGTGTTTATGTTTATTTAATATCACAGGTGTTTATGTTCATTAGATATCATGTGTTTATGTTTATTAAATATCACATGTATTTAAGTTTATTAAATTTCACATGTGTTTATGTTTATTTAATATCACAGGTGTTTATGTTTATTAAATATCACAGGTGTTTATGTTTATTAAATACCACAGGTTTTTATGTTAATTAAGTATCACAGGTGTTTGTGTTTATTAAATATCACAGGTGTTTCTGTTTAACTATCTCAGGTGTTTAAGTTTATTAAATATTATGTGCTTATGTACATTTTATATCACATGTGTTTATGTTCATTTGCATCCTCTGATACAATGTCATTTATTTTAAATATTCTTTTAGCTCCGATCGTATATGAATGTTACTATCGTGAACGGCAAAGACATTCAAACGGAAACCGAATGCAGAATCGGCCAGTAGCACAGGTTCCAGTCCCAGTGCAGAGAGGTCAGATGTCACGCAATGGATCTGTAGACGGTAATTATAGATTTTCTCCTGTTATTATGATAGACCGATTCCACAACTGTGGTCATGCTTACGTGTATTTGGTATTGAAAGTAAGCATCAACTGAAATTTGCTGCATATTTTTAATAACATTAATAAAAATAATAATAATAATAAAAATAATAATAATAATAATAATAATAAAAATAATAAAAATAAATACTAAAGCAGTCTCTCCATGGACTGCATACCACCACCATGTGCCTTCTGAATACCAATCTATACTCAGACTGTATATGATGGGTGATTTTATTATTTTCCACCCTTTGACGTGCCTGAATACCGAACATAATACTCAGGACATATATGAATGGCTATTGCATTATTTTCTTTTATGCTCAAGGATAGAAAAAACTTAAGTGATTATATCCTTTGATTTTTCCTTTCTAAAATTCAATCATTCTTTCTTAAATTATTATGTACAATTCTACTACATTTTATGATGATCTATTCCTTATTTTTTGCACAATCTTTCTAACAGACAGACAGAGAGACAAGGGTGAATATATAACCTCCCTGGTGGAGGTGAAAATAAAATATACTAGTACTAAATTTTTTAAAATTATATAAAAAATGGAGAATAATGGAAGATTTTAATTAAATTTATGTCTGAGGTGCCATAATCATAAATTTGTTCACCTCAGCCGCAACCATGTTGAGGCTGACGTCCAGACTGTCCATCTGTGGAAGTCCCTAACTAGGCCCCCTCTATTTCAAATTCCTGGATCCGCCACTTAGCTTATGTAAAGCATCTTGCTTGTATGTTCGTCTTGTGGAGGATAGCCACTTAGTAAAATGATTATGTTCACTATTATCCCTGAGCCTAAAAATTAAACGACACTTATGCCACTTTTACGTGCACCAGCAAGAGTAATTGCCTACTTTAATAGCAGATTGCAGCAATTATTTTAAGTTTCAAAGGTGTTCCTGAATTAAAATGTGTTTAGCTTTTCATTAATATTTGTATGCTATTTGAAGATTATGCTATTTTGTATTTTGGCTATTTCAGTTGTGAAAGTTTTTTGTTCCAAGTTAAGTACTTCACTAGCTGTGTCTAAAAAACAATATCTTGCTAAGCAGTTTTAAATAGCGACATTTGGAGTTTGACCGCGCTTTGAGATGTTTTGCAGGAATAGAAAAAATATTTTTGTGCCTCCGATCAAGTAAATTGTCTTGATCAAATTCTCCAGGACCAAATGTTATCGTTACACTATTAGATTTACATTTTTTTTTTTTTTAAGTAATAGAACACCCTGAAATAGGATAGGCCTGAAACTACAGTCCCTATATGTGGCAAAGACAAGCCAAACCAGTCACTCGTCGCAAAAATCAATTTTGAGTTATTAATACAGTGTTAGAGAGTAAAATAATAGCTATAAAATGGTAAAAAAATCATTCAAATCCGACATATCCTTATGAAGTTACAAGCGTTCAACCACACAGCTGTTGAAAGAACAATATATGATAAATCAGCCTTTAAAGTTTATGATTTTAGGCATTTCTCATGCAGAAACTATCTTTAAATCCTTAAAAGTGTTGTTTTAACATTGAAAATGGGGAAAATAACAGCATAGAATGATGTGTAGATATATAAAGGTTAGTTTAGTAAAATAAAATAGAATTTTAAAAAATTGCCATTCCAGCATGTTTTGGCCATTTTCTCTGAAACATGATTTGCGACGAGTGACTGGTTTGGCTTGTCTTTGCCACACATATATGAAGACCCTAGGCCTAAGGGCTCATAGCTCATAGGCACCACAATAGAACGATGGCAAGCTTAATAAACAAAAAATATTCAAAGTAACAACAGAATAAATACTAACCAAGTGTATATTTAAATAGATTTAATAAAAATAAATCAGTTTAAAGAAAGATTTATTTGGCCTTCGAAACGTAAAATAATAATGTGTATCTGATCCACGCGATCACGCACGGGTAGGTCGAGCAAAACCATACTGTGGCACGAAAAATGTCCAAACAAGCGCCCTCTATGTAATACAATCCAAGTAAATTTCGAGAAAAATAAAAGAAAAATATTTCGTTTATGGTTGGCCTAAAACCGTAAATGAGCCGAAAATGTCTAGCTATGTACCGCTTTTGAAGCGATGGCTATACCTAAGCCTGTTTTTATTTATTGTCCAATATACCGTAAGTAATGAATACAATTTTTGATTCAAGCAACCACTAGTTGTACAGTAGTAAAAAATAGGTTAGGCCTAGATCTGGTCGTGGCTTGACAGCTCAGCGCGAGAAATCCGATGTTGGGTGCATGTATCGTCGTTGCGCTCGGTTCTCAAAAGTATACCTTCTATTTTACTGATCTTACACATACATATACTGTAATATGGCCTGATTTTGATAAAAATACTTGTCTGTTTTAAATTTTATGTTCTAAATGTTAATTTTGGAGGGTATTCCTCCAATTTGTACTTGTACAAAATTTTTTTTTTTTAAATGCCAACCCGATGTTTTGGAAAATTTTGGTCGGTTGCAGAGGCAACCCAAAATTTTTTTTTTTTTTTGGCCTTATAGCAAAACAGTACTAGTACATTTGGTGATTTAGATCAAAAAAAAATATTAAATTTAATTAGCCATTAATTTGAGATGTATAACAATTTCTTTATTTTTTTCTAAAATGCCTCCAACCGCCGGTCTTGTGGTCGCGCACATTTTTCCAGCCCTGATGTTTTGTGTGGAGCGTTATACAAAAGCAAAATTATTATTATTGTTGGCTAAATGCTCAGTTACAACAACTGTTGGAAGAACAAAGTCTACTCCAGTTTGAGTATATTATAGCCAGGGATATAACTAGCATAGCTTCAGTTTAAATATAATGGAGCAATTTTATTAGATTTCATCAGCAGATTAACAGTGAATTAAATTAAATTCACTGCTCTATATGTGGCAAAGACAAGCCAAACCAGTCACTCGTCGCAAAAATCGATTTTGAGTTATTAATACAGTGTTAGAGAGTAAAATAATAGCTATAAAATGGTAAAAAAATCTTTCAAATCGGACATTTCTTTATGAAGTTACAAGCACTTAAACATACAGCTGTTTAAAGAACAATATATGAGAAATCAGCCTTCAAAGTTTATGATTTCAGGCATTTCTCATGCATAAACTATAATCAAATCCTTTAAAATGTTGTTTTAACATTGGAAATGGGGAAAATAACAACATAGAATGATGTATAGATGTGTAAAGATTAGTTTAGTGCAATAAAATAGATTTTTAAAATTTGACATTCCAGCATGTTTTGGCCATTTTCTCTGAAACACAATTTGTGACGAATGACTGGTTTGGCTTGTCTTTGCCACATATGTAGCCAGAGCAGGTCACCCAAAACAGGTGTGATTCAGTCAGATTGTTTGCTATGTAATTAAATGGTGTTTTTTAAGCCATTGTAACTGTGTTTGGGAAATTAAATAAAACAAAAGAATTTCACATGTCTAATCTGGATGAATGTGTATTTGAGCAATGCTCTGAATTTAAATGGCGAATATAAGTCTTGAAGTGGAGGGGTATTGAGAGGCTCAATGATTAAGTGAGGGGTACCAACTGGCAAAATTAGGGGCGGATTGCTGTAAAACGATCTTAACTTGTGTCTTAACTCCTCGAATAAAGCCGGCTTTATCGCTTAGACGGTCTTACTAAAATCACTCTGCTAAGACCATTGCTATAAAAACGGTCTTCGCTTAGAGCGCTTTGAGTATTGAAACGCAAACAAGTACTCTGTGGTGGCATAAAATTGCGGGCGCTGTTACGCTTGCTCAAAACATGCATATTTATCAAAATAAACGTAAATACATGTAGACCAATTTTTACCGACGCTGAGAAGCTTGCGGAATATTTGTCATTCAATTCTTAGTCTTTGACAATGTAGGCCTAGTTCAATTACCTGTAACGCCATGAGGAAAATGATTTAAGATCATTTTAAGCCTCCTCCGAATAGGCTTTAAAATTTAAGATGGCTAACTGATTAGTCCGCGATATAGCAATGGTCTATAATCATAGACCAGTAGGGACGTCATGATTAAAGCCGGCTAAGCGTTAACACCATATAAAGACCACTTATAGCAATCCGCCCTAGGTGAGGTAAACTACTTTATATAGTACAGTATTTTTTTGCTTCAGAATTTTTCCAGGGGGAGGAACTGGGGGCACAAACATATTTGTGGTGTACGAGCACACCCACCGAATAGATCAAAATCTCTTTGAGAAGTAATTAAATGCAATGTAGCAGTGGCACTACTAATAATTCACTACTGTACTAATCCATAAACCATTAAGAGTTAGTTGTTAACACTACTACCATGTGATGCATTTTCAGTTGTTTGATTGGTTACAATTAATAACACTTAACATATTTGCAAAGAAAATAACCAATAGCAATTCTTGCATTCCTGTGATGATTGCAGATCCGATGTATGCGTCTGTTAATCCAAACATGGCATGCGAATATCTGGTTGCTAAACGTGACTACCAAGCAAAGGTAGGTTGATAATAGAATGTTCATTAACCAATTCAATAACATTAATCCATGCACTCTTGTGATTTTGTTTTTCGGTAGAGGGGTTGTAGTTGGATGGATGGATTTATTTGGTGTAAACACCAAGGATAACCCATGAAAGTCTGAAGAAGACTTATTTCCAGTGGGGTCACTCTGGTGGTGATTGGGCAGTACACCGGCTTAAACATCTCATCCAAAAGACGGTGCGCTATCGAAACTTGCATTCAGCCCTCCTGCTGAAACACAAGGAGAGCAGCGATGGGAATTTCCACGGTTCAGCGCACACACAGTGGCTACCACCAGTTCAGCCGACTGAGCTCAGCTGCTCTCTCAGCCTTGAGGAGTGGGAAAGGGGGAGGGTTTAAACCCACACAGTACTTATATCCTTGTGAAGTTGATTACGTCATGTACTGTAGGCAGTGTAAAGCAGCTTACTGTACATCGAGTATGCCGGTGGTTACATATTGTGTAGGCCCCCCCCCCCCTGGTTGTGTAATGTCATGTACTGCACGGCCGTGGCTTACTTTATGTACTTCGATTGCTTTATAGAATTCAGTTGAATGTGTCATTTATGGGAGTAGTTCTTGTTGAGTATGCCATTTTCTTAGTTGATTTCTATAGCGTAAGCAAGCCTGTCAGTGGCTTCATGTACGCCAGTCACTTCCATTATGTAGGCCAGTAAATTATGTTATGTACACCAGGCGCTTCATGTATGCCAGTCACGACCATCATGTAGACCAGTGAATTACATCATGTACACCAGTCGTTTCATGTACACCTGTTGCTTCCATCATGTACGCCAGTGACTTCATATACGTCAGTCGCTTCATGTACGCCGATCACTTCATGTACGTCTGTCGCTTCGATCATGTACGTCAGTGACTTTGTGTACGCCAGACGCTTCAAGTACGCTAGTCGCTTCATGTTCGCCTGTCATTTCCATCATGTACGCCAGTGACTTCATATACGTCAGTCACTTCATGTACGCCCGTCACTTCATGTAAACCGGTCACTTTCATCATGTAAGCCAGTCGCTTCATGTAAGACTGGTTGATTACCTCAAGTATTTTATGTACGCCCATTGTTTCCATCCAGTAGGCAAGTGGATCATGTACGCTAGTTGTTTATGTAAAGCTAGTTGATTACAACATGTACACCATCAATAACAATCCTCATCTTTATTACCTTTTCAGGGTCCCGGCGAACTCAGTCTTTGCGCAGGTGAAACTCTGATGGTTCTTGAGCGGGATAATGGAAAATATATCCTGGTATCAAATGATAGCGGGACTAAAGGTTATATTCCTGTTGACCTGACGTGTGACTCTTCCATCGGTACAAACCTTTGAGTATGACTTGTATTGTACAGTAGAACCCCTTCATTTGGGACACCCCTATTAAGGGGACACTTTTTCATCCACAAACTGAAGGAAAGTATATCTTTTATCACTGGACAACCCATATTAAAGGGGACATCCCTATTAATGGGGCACCCCAATTAAGGGGATGCTTTTTTGGCTCCTAAAGGTGTCCCCTTAATATAGGGGTTCTACTGTGTTCACTTTATTACTTCAAGTTCAAGTCAATTAAAACAACACAAGATATTCAGTAATATTTCACAGCTGTAAGGTTTTGTTTTGCTCATTTTTTTTTTTTTTATAAAATCAGAGTTGGACCCTTTTTTCATTTTTGTATTTTCACCATTGTGTAAGTAGTTAATCCAGTGACTTATTTAATTGTGCTTTTATAAGGGTTCTACTGTGTTCACTTTATTACTTCAAGTTCAAGTCAATTAAAACAACACAAGATATTAATGAATGTTTGGGAGGTTTCTCACGCATACGGTTAGTGTGACTAATACGTCATCATTTTGACGTCATACGCCAGTTGCTATCCGCAAAATGTGTGGACAACACGCATATCTTGCTCACTACACGTAAGTGAAAAACGTGTAAGGAAATTTTGGATTTCTATTTACGATCTTCGTTTTTTTCACATTTTATGCAAGTGTAAAAAATAAATGTATCTTTGAATACATACATGCATTTTTGTGACATTTTAAGACAGCAAATTACGATAGGATGCGTCTCATTTTGGGGTATCAAAACGTTGGTGCTTTGAGAAGAAAACAGCGTATAGGCCTTGGCTCTAAGGGCCTACGCTTTAATTGCGCTGTGATTGCGAAAAACACAGAATGGCTACAAACCGTAATGGATAAATAAACGTATGTGTGCACGTATTCGTTCGTGTGCGAAACCTCTCTATTGACCTGAAACTGATTTCTAAGCATGTGAAAAAATGGGATTTTACCTAAACCTGAAAAACAAATAATATAGCATTTTGCTTCTGTATTTCTTCAAAGATGTTAGGAATGATAAAATAGAAGAAATTTTAACTCTAGAACCCCCTTTTTAAGTTGCCTATTGTAATTATGATTAAATTATTAGAATTCTAATGGTTTTGTTGTGTATTATTACATAAGATTAGATTTATCAAGTTTGTTGATAGCAATCAGTCATATTTCCATCTAAATTATTTAACCACTCCAAAGCAGGCTGTAGGAGGAAGTAAAGCATCCAGTCACAAAACGGTTAAATGTCTATCTGTTACCATCTAAATGCAACAAGACCAATTGAGGTTTATTTACACAGAGCTCGACAACGGCATGCGACAGCGGCAGAAATAGAACCCACTGATGTTCTTTGTGGTGATCCACACTGAACGTGACATGACTACGCGTTTGAACAACTTGTCTGCTCAGCATAGAATCATTTTCTATTTCTAAAAACTGTTGTGCGTCGTAAAATATTCTCATCAATCAATTACATCAATCACGGCTGTTGTTGCGCGCTGTGTAAATGGATTGCACTGCGTGTCAGAATATTTTTGTCGCTGTCGCGTGCTGCACTCTTACGCCAACTGGCTCTGGGTTTACATATTATGTTAATTATTTTTTTCTGTGATATATTTTACCATCACTCCCTGACACTAAGCTATGTGTCCCTACCAGCTGGGCCCGAGTCTCTAAAAACCAGCAGGGATCTAGGGATCATGCCCTGATGGGACACAGGGTCCTAGAAAACCTGCAAATTTAAGTCATTTTTTGGGTAGAAATGTATTATGCCCAAAAACATTATTTTTAACAATAAAGGAAAACATTTCTTTTTTTGGTCTTAAGAGATATATGGCCAGATTTGTGACTCTCTTTACAATGCATGTACAGTATAGTGGTTTGTAAACTGTACACTTGTTTAAAATAAAATACACATTCAAATTATAAAAATATGTACAGAAATTTTATAAATATTTTTAAAATATTTTATTATTTATTTTGCATTCAAACTATGTGTAGTAATTAAGAATTTGTGAATAATGCTATAAACTAGGCCTACTACTATATAATAGTTAGGACAACATTCATAAGGTATCTATAGGATTGTGGCAAAACAAGAGAGAGTTTGATAAAAAATTTTTAACCTTCAATTATTTTGATCATGATATTTGTTTCTTATTGTACAATGCTATTGTTACTTAAGTTCTTTGCTTGCAATAAGGTGTTTACATACCAATATTCATTGCCTATATGGACACTTTAAATTTGTGCTGTATAAGGCTTTGTCTACATTACCAGATTTTATGTGACCAACTGGTAATGCCCATTCTATTCTTTATTTAAACTTTATTTATACAGGAGGGTGACCCTTCCAAATTTTCCCAGACAGCCAGCTGATGTTGAGGGACACTCTATTAATAATATAAAACACATCTGAAAAAATGTTTGATTAATTGGATAAATACAATTTTTATTTGGAATACATTTTAAATAAAATATAACGAACATAATTCATGACGATAAATGTTTTTAAAGAATTTTATTTAAAATTAGTTAAATTAAAATTTTTTTTTTCTTTATTTATTGCACTGTGCTATCAAAATGTATTGTTACAAATAGCCAGGCTTAAGACAGCTTATTTAATTTACAGTTATTATTATTATTATTATTATTATTATTATTATTATTATTATTATTATTTACTTGTTTGTTGGGCACTTGATGTCGGTGCTGTACACCACCTAATAATTTTGTTAGAGTTAAGATGGTATGGTACTATACTCACTAAAACGAAATAATTACATTTTTTATTTTTACAGTATTTTTAAGTGAATCGAAAGTATACAACTGATTGAGTTGCAACTTAAATTAAAAACTAAGTCTATCTTAATGAAGTACTTTAAACGAATGTTTATATACTTATATTTGTAATTTTTTTTAAGTAGAATATTTTAATGTATTTTTGAATTGTAGGTTAAATTAATATATAGATAAAGAAGCTATTAAAATAGACATTGCAGCACTGTCTTGACCTGGATTTTTTTATTTCATCTGTGTTGCCTCTTTATATTTATAGCTACAGTATATATTTTATATACCAAAGATATATAATTCCATATTAAAACTGGAATACCCTTTTATTATCGAACCAGTCACTTTTTTTTTTTTGATACAGTAATAGTATAAAGAAGCTTAACGACGAGTTGTGTGAGACGGGGGGAAAATGTGCTGGGGCTCATGTATTTTAGTAAAGTAAATAAAAGTACAGGTAGTAGGAATTTTAAATATAAAAAGACTGTATTAAAGCATGGACCTAATAATAGGTCCATGATAGACTTTCCACAAGTCTCTAATTGATTTTTCGTAGTACTGTACTGTATTAGCACATTTCGGAAAGCGCCACCAGCGTCAGATTATGTCGAGAAACTTTTTGATGCGAATTAGAAAATCCCAGAAAAAGTATACTATGGAACGCCATGCAAATAAGTAATATGGAACGCCATTGGTGCCAAAATCGATTTATTCTTAAGCATTTTAAATGATTGAGACAAAGATTAGGGACTGAAACCCAGTCTAGGTCCATGATTAAAGGCAATGCCATTATCGTAAGAATGATTATACAGTATTGTGATTATGAGAGAGACTGAAGTTACTAACGTCAAGTTAATTTAGGAGAATTCCATTGTGTTTCAATGTTAACTTTTAAAAATCGCACATTTGCATCTATAATTATGTTACGCAAACCATCTGTACCCATGGTGATCCATCCCACTTAACTGAACTTGGTCTTAAACCCTCCCCGGGCCACGCATTGGAACAGAGGCGTTGAAAATTATTATTGGGGAAATAGTGAGATCAAGGGTTGGGGATGAATGGGAGGACGCTACCTTGGGAAATATAATGAAGGTGATTTGTTTGTAATGCCAGCTCAACTAGTTTTCAGTCGGGTGCAAGCTGTTTCTTCGGACCCGTACAACCCTCCAATGCTACCTCCAAATAGGCATATGCCACTCTCACATGCACGGAATTGTTAATGTGTTACATCCTAAAAACATGATTTTCGACGTAACACTATACTGTACCTGCTTTTTCTGCTTTTATGGATAGGCTTACTTTATCTAAGTCGAATGTCAATCAAACGTACAAATGACCAATTAGAACAGGGCCCAGAAATAGGCGCGTTTCCAGCTATAAATACACACGTGCCAGAAATGCACGTGAGTGCATGTAATTTTTACGTGGGACTCTAGCAACAATATCCAAGGGGCGTGGCTTAGCTGCGGGTCCATTCAACACAATACCATTTGTTATGCTCTTGTGGAAAGTAAACAATGAACTAATACTGAAAGTTAAATTATTAGAGTTTATTCAAGAAAATGTTGCGTTGTATTTTAATACCATGACCCCCCAAGTCACGTTCGTTCGTTTGAATAAGTCCAACATCTTCAACCATGCTAAAAGTTTCTTCATCCAGTTCAATCAGCCCGGGCATGCCTCTTGGGGATTTGTGACCTGTCTCAATTGAAGGACCTGTGTTAGGCCCTACAATGTGTTCTTTTTTTATAAGCAGGAGGGGGATAAATGGGGTTCTCATTATGGTAATGACACCGTCAAAGGCTTTAGTAACTGGCTCAGTATTAAATTCCCTGGTAAGAAACCCAAAATATGTAAAATTGTCCCAGCCACAAATTGACTGTATGTTGACTGTATGTTAATGTATTTAATCCTCAATAAATTCAATTTTCATTTTTTTTTTCTTATTCACTAAATGTTCACTTGTCACTTTAGGAAAACTTTACCTGAGCCGTTTTACAGGAACCAGTTTTACCGCGTAGGCCTCGGCGGAATTTGCTTAATACCACCGTTGGAAGAATATAACACGAGTCTAAATGGGTTGTGACGACACTATGATATTAAATATACAGTATAAATATAAAACAATTTATTGGTTAACAGCAGTCTCTGGTGGCGTCTCACAACTGCTTTCAGATTACTTTTTTTCGACGAGCCGCGTAATTACAGACCATTGGAGCCGCTCGCAAGAAATATCTTACAAGTGTTAGTATACACTTTGGTTGTCAACTGAGTTCACCAAATCCCAACGGACAAGGCCAATTAAACTAGTGTAATAGATACCTAGGAATACATTGTTCTTTACAACCAATTAAAATTATATTACATTTCCCTCTGAATTCATCTCAAAAACGATACGGTGTTTAGCCCCAATATAGGCGCAATTATTTATTGTTACAATCAATGCGATTTTATGACGCTATATTTTAATTAGTTCTGATTAAATTTAATCCAGCATTGCAGAGTGTCGAGAGCCGCAACATTAAAAAATCGTCATTTTGTTTTTCTTTTAATTCACGTCTTTAAAGGCAGCCTACTGTCTGTTCCTTCCTAATATAGTTGAATTGTATTTTTTAAAATGTAATTAGCGTTTGAAATTAGAACAAGACGTTTATCTCGCGAACTAACAACAGACGCATAAATATCGGTTCCTATATCCTTTAAAATATTATACCCTTAGAAATGGATCTTTCTGGAGTGTCCATCAAACTTAACAACTGACCAATGATGCACGTTTCCTGGTCCTACAAACGCACACGTATTCCCACCACAAACGCATGTGTGTGCGTACCATAATGCTTTAAACTATCGTTTCGTAGTACCTTAGCAACAATAAGGGGCGGGTCTTAGCGGAAAGGTCCATTGGTTGGTATCGATGGACCTTTCTGGCGGAGTGTCAATCAAACTTAACAATTGAACAATCAGAATACGGCCAGGAATACGCGCGTGTCCTACAAACACACGTGTTGTCCAACAAACGCACGTCGTGTGCGTATACATTCCACTGTCGTAAGTTGGGGACATTAGCAAATATCCAATGCGCGGTGATTAGCGGAAAGGTCCATTTTAAAGAGAGTTTTTTGTAATAAAAAAAAACTAGACGAAAACTGATTTGTGTCGATTTGTGCCTCATTTGAAGTTGATTTCATTTTTCAGGTTATTTATAGATATTTTTTTTTCTATACAATGCGCCCTCTATTGTCTGACATATTGAGATCAAGTTTGACTCGCTAGGTAATTATTGTTCTCTAGATTTCTGATTGTACCTGGCGCCGTTATACGCGCATATTTGATTCTTAAATTGTCTGACCATATTCTCCATGACGTCATTGTCGAATCTGGCTTGTATTCATGCTTTGAATGTAAAAATGAAAACTTATTAAACAGGTGTAACTCACAATATTATATATATACACAGGTGTATTCCTGTCTCTTATACACATCTTAATGCCAGCTCAACTAGTTTTCAGTCGGGTGCAAGCTGTTTCTTCGGACCCGTACAACCCTCCAATGCTACCTCCAAATAGGCATATGCCACTCTCACATGCACGGAATTGTTAATGTGTTACATCCTAAAAACATGATTTTCGACGTAACACTATACTGTACCTGCTTTTTCTGCTTTTATGGATAGGCTTACTTTATCTAAGTCGAATGTCAATCAAACGTACAAATGACCCGTTTGTGCTGTCTCTTATACACATCTAGATGTGTATAAGAGACTATTCAATACCAGGGCGTTTTGAAGATAAAAAGGAGGCAGATCGGGATTATTCAAGTGTTGTGTAATCGTGACGCGTACTTTGCCTGAAAAAATGTCAGTGTGCTTTTTCAAATTTCGACGCATAGGCGACTTTGGTCTATTGTGTCAACAAAGGAAATACGTTTACTTTTGGCTTACTTGTATATCTTATTATACTGATGTATAAAGAATGGAAAAAATCGCAAGAAAGTTTCATGAATATATTAATATCATAATACATACGAAGAAGGGTCACCTAAGGTCAACATTTGACAGCTAAGCAACACCACGGACGTAGGTTTGTGTGAAACATTCGTGTTCGTCAGAATTAAAACGAGTCGATGTAATTTTTATTTTAACTAGCTACGTGTTCCCTTTGGGAGATAAAACGTTACTTGACTATGTACAGTAAAGTTAGCAACAACATCTAATTCAGTCGATAAAATCCCTTTGCTGGCGCCGAGCGGAAAGATAGAGCGTAAATTTGCATAAGCCGTTAGCGCGTTACGTGATTTCTTATTTGCAGGTCTGTTTTACTGTGTGGACACTGACTTACCGTTCTTTAGAATAAAATCATGGTAGAGTTTACCTGCATGGTAAAAATATACCTGATTTTACATATCAATGATAAAGCTGAGCCCCTGGCGTAATGTCGGCTCAAGGCAACGTAAGTTGACCAATGATGGATGAATATAATAATACATGAATAAACTCAACCGCATTTTCTCATTAATTAATAATATGGTCTAGATTTTCGGAATATGAAGTAAAATGTTTATCTAAAGGGTTTCAAACATTACTTAACATTTGCAGTTTGATGTCATGCAGACTAAAATAGCTCTTAAATAATTTTAAATTTCTTGTATTTTTGTAGCTTTACAGTTTTTTTTTTTTGTTTGTTTTTTTTTTTTTTTTTTTTTTTTTTTTTTTTTTTTTTTTTTTTTTTTTTTTTTATTGTTTTTTTTTTTTTGTTTATTTTGTTTTTTTACAGCAAACGATTCAAGGTGGTTGTTAATTGCTCCCTGGCGTCGTTATCGTTACACTTCGTCTGATATCCAACATCAATGGGTTTTACTTGCTGGCCGAGCATACTACTGCAGTTACCATTTTATAATATGCTTGACATCATCGTTGAATCTATAAAGACTGTGGATTAAAATGTAGTTTATTATGATGATAATGTCCAATTATATAGCGACGCAATCTTGCCATTAATCGTCTGATGCCAACCAGTCTAATCCACCTCATCCCAGTACATGTTAATATGAACTAAGAAGAGACGTATCGGACAGATAAAGCACATTATATCTCTTGGCATCAATATTACAGACTTGTGCGCATTATTTTATGAGCATGTTTTCACTGAAAGGAAGCAAAAGTCGGAAGGTAGACCACATTATGGTAACTTAGATTGAATAATTATTTTAATTAGGCCTACCATACCAAGTCTATGCATGATAACGAATTACCACAAATAAGGAGAAAAATTAACTTGAGTCATAGAAAATTAAACATACATGAAAATACAAATTGTACGTGGCTTTATTAAAAATATATGTTGTATCCCCAGCCCTACCGGGGCTCCGCCCCTACCCCCTCCCCACCTATACTGATGTAGGCC